ATTTCCCCCCACCCCCATTTCCCCCCCGCACCCACCTCTCCACCGAGCAATGATGCGTGCACCCATGGGACCCCCCCACGGCGTAGATGAGTCCGTCGATGACGCCCACCCCGATCCTGTTCCGGGGGACGCTCATGGGGGCGCAGGGCGACCACCTCCCGCTGAGGGGGTTATAACAATCCACGGCCGCCGAGTCCGTGTTCCCCTCGGGGGAGTTATTCCTCCCCCCCACGGCGTAAAACAGCCCCCCGACCGCGCAGCCCCCCAACCCCGAGCGCGGCGTCTCCAGCTCCGCCAGCCTCACCCAAGACCCCTCCTGGGGGTCGAAAGCCTCCAGCGTGCTGAGGGATCGCCTCAGGTAACCCCCGGCGGCGTAAATCAGCTGCCGCACCTTGGGGCATCGCCCGGGGGGATCCCCGGAGGGTTTGTGCAGAGCCAGATCGCGGAAAACGCGAGCCAGGTAGCGCAGGGCGTCGCGCCCCAGGTCGCGGCGGCGGCGGAGTTGGGCGCGGAGGAAGCGCGGGGTGAGAGCGTGGCAGCGCACGGCGCGGAGGAGAGCGGGGAGGAAAGGAGCCCGAGCTCCGCGGTCCTGCTGCACCCAAGAGACGCAAGCCTGGAACACCTCGGACTCGCAGCGGACGTTGAGCTCGTCGCGGCTCACCAGAGTGGCCAGCTGGCAGTGGGACAGGGACAGGAACTCCTCCTGCTTGGAGACCTGGGGAGAAAATGGGAAAAAAGGTGAGGAAAGTCTCTAAAGTTGATAAAAATCAGCTCAAAATCAGCTCAAAATCAGCCCCAAAGTGACATTCTGGCAGTGGGACAGCGACAGGAACTCCTCCTGCTTGGAGACCTGGGGAGAAAAGGTGAGAAAAGGTGGGGAAAGTCTCTAAAATTGCTAAAAATCAACTCAAAATCAACCCCAAAGTGACATTCTGGCAGTGGGACAGCGACAGGAACTCCTCCTGCTTGGAGACCTGGGGAGAAAAGGTGAGAAAAGGTGGGGAAAGTCTCTAAAATTGCTAAAAATCAACTCAAAATCAACCCCAAAGTGACATTCTGGCAGTGGGACAGCGACAGGAACTCCTCCTGCTTGGAGACCTGGGGAGAAAAGGTGAGAAAAGGTGGGGAAAGTCTCTAAAATTGATAAAAATCAACTCAAAATCAACCCCAAAGTGACATTCTGGCAGTGGGACAGGGACAGGAACTCCTCCTGCTTGGAGACCTGGGGAGAAAATGTGAGAGAAGTCTCTAAAATTGATAAAAATCAGCTCAAAATCAGCTCAAAATCAGCCCCAAAGTGACATTCTGGCAGTGGGACAGGGACAGGAACTCCTCCTGCTTGGAGACCTGGGGAGAAAAGGTGAGAAAAGGTGAGAGAAATGTCAAAATTGATAAAAATCAGCTCAAAATCAGCCCCAAAGTGACATTCTGGCAGTGGGACAGCAACAGGAACTCCTCCTGCTTGGAGACCTGGGGAGAAAAGGTGAGAAAAGGTGGGGAAAGTCTCTAAAATTGATAAAAATCAACTCAAAATCAACCCCAAAGTGACATTCTGGCAGTGGGACAGCGACAGGAACTCCTCCTGCTTGGAGACCTGGGGAGAAAATGGGAAAAAAGGTGAGAGAAGTCTCTAAAATTGGCAAAAATCAGCTCAAAATCAGCTCAAAATCAGCCCCAAAGTGATATCAGGGTAATGGGATGTGATAGGAATTCATCCTGATTGAAAACCTGGGGAGAAAAGGTGAGGAAAGTCTCTAAAATTTATAAAAATCAGCTCAAAATCAGCTCAAAATCAACCCCAAAGTGACATTCTGGCAGTGGGACAGCGACAGGAACTCCTCCTGCTTGGAGACCTGGGGAGAAAATGGGAAAAAAGGTGAGAGAAGTCTCTAAAATTGGCAAAAATCAGCTCAAAATCAGCTCAAAATCAGCCCCAAAGTGATATCAGGGTAATGGGATGTGATAGGAATTCATCCC